TATAATATAATAGAAATTAAATAGATAATAAGTATATTAGTGTATATTCTTAATACCTTTTAACTTTATTATAAAGTATAGGCTAGGAAAGATAAACCCTATAGATAGGCTATCTAGAATCCTAAATTCTAAGTAAGTAGCCTTAGGAATAGAACTAATAATCCTAATTTAAGACTAAATTATAGATAATAATAGCCTAACCTATAGGGGTAATAGGGAACTATTAGTCCTTATAATATAAAGTATTATAGGAACTAAAAATCTAGATATAGATTATAAATATAATTTAGGAGAATATAACTTAGAATTCTAATTTAGATTTAAGTAAATAGCTATATAGGGAAACCCTAGATCTAGTATACCTATAGATATAAATATAGAAAGTATTAGTGTAGATAATTAGTTAGAATAGAGAGAACTATATAATAATCTAAAAATATTATTTAATATTAGGGATTCTATAATAGTAGAAATCTAGTCTATTAGTAATAATACTAAAGATATTCTTAAGTAGGTATAAAGGCTATAGGCTAAAGATCTAGAGATAGTCTACTAAAGTAGGGATATCTTAGTATAGAAACCTAGTATAAAAGGCTAGTTAGTTAATACCTTAGGAATACTATAGTACTAAGGATAAATATATATACTAAAAAGGGAGGGTATTTATATAAAACTATTATAAATATACTATAATAACCCTACTACTAGCTACTTTAGTAGGGTAAGGATAGAGGAGTTACTTAGATATAACTACCACTAGATTTATATATAAATAGATATTAAAAACTATATTAAGACCTATAAAATATACTAAACTATATAAATACTATAGTATAAGCTATTTAGTAAGCTTAAACCACTACTAATTCTATCCTACCCCTTTATAGAACTATTAATAGATTTTATTATAGGGCTACCTTAATTAACCTAGGAAAGAAGGATAGTTAATTATATTTTAGTAGTTATAGACTATTTCTTAAAATAGTGCCTTTTCTTCCTAGTTTTAACTATAATAGATACTTTAGAATTAGCTAAGCTCTTCTATTAAAAAGTTAAACTAAGATTTAGACCACTAAATAGTATTATATCTAACTAAGGGTTAGTTTTTATAAGTAGATTTTAGTTAAAACTATATTATCTATCTAAGATAAAACTATAGTTCTTAATAGTATTTTACCCCTAAAATAATAGGTAAATAGAATAAATAAACTAAACCCTAGAATATTACCTACACTACTTTATTAATACCTAGTAGAAGATATAGCCCTTACTACTATAGGTAGTAGAGTTCTCCTATAATAATACTATTAATACTATAATAGGAATATCACTATTTTAGGCACTACTAGGTTTTAACCTAAACTTTTAAATATATACTAAGGATAGTAGTGTAGAGAGAGGGACACTAGTAGTATTATCTTATATTAAAAAGCTAGAGGAGCTTTAAGAAAAACTATAGATATTATAGCGAAAAGCTACTAAGATATAAGCGCTCTATTATAATAAATATTATAAAGAAATATATATTATTTAAGGAGAATAACCTAGTAGTACTATTAATAAAAAACCTATAACTTAAAGAAGGAACTATAAAGAAACTATCCCTAAGATAGGTAGGACTATTTAGAATCCTTAAATATATAGGAAAATAAGTATACTAACTCTAACTCCTAGAATATAGAGTAATTTATAATATATTCCTAGTCTAGCTACTATAACTATAGTAATAAAGGGTAGGGGAACTAGAATAATTACCCTTAACTAAGTTAGCTAATAATAATAAATAGGAAGTCGAAGAGATTAAGAGAGACTAGAAGTTCGATAGAGAACTATACTACCTTATAAAATAGGTAGGCTAGCCCTTAAAATATAACTAGTAGGTCCTAGAAGATAATATAATAAATATACTAAAAATAATAGTAAGATATAAGAAAACTAAGAAAGATAAGACTAGTTAATATTAGGGTACTAAACTAAACCTAGAATAGTACCGAAAATTAGATATTATAAATTATTATCTAGACTATCTTACTATAGCGGATAAAGTAGAAGAAGATATAGAAAAACCCTAGAAAACGCTAAGGGATACCACTAGAACACTAATAAGAAGGGGATAAGAATATACCCCTAAATATAGGGGTTTAAAGGGAAAATACCTATATAGGTATTAAGGTACTAGGCTATATCCTCCTTAAGGCCCTTAGCCTTAGTATTATCTATAATATCCTAGATACCTTAGTAGAAGGCTATAACACTAGTATACTAGCTCTAAGTAGTCTCCTTAGTTACCTAGAGTTAGGGGTATTATATAGCCTTATTAGCTAATTTTATAAATTCGATAGCTAAGGTAGGGAGGGTAGGCTTAGGAACTACTAGCGAAATATAGCTAGATACCTACTAGGAATAGGTATCCTAAGTCTCCTATTAAATATTAGTATATATAAAAGTACCTAAAAGAAAGGTATATACCTAGGTTATATTTACCCTAGTTAATCTATAAGCCTAGCGATAGGCCTTAATAAAATTATTAAAGCTAGCGAGAAGGTATTATATAGTATCTATAATAGCTATAATAAACTTATAAGGTAGGAGTAATTTAGTGGCCTCCTTATCTATAAATATATCTAAAGAGGGGCTATATCTACTAGCTATATTTAACTAAAATAACTCTACCTAAGAAAGATAGGCTAATAGCTTAAAATAGTTTCTCTTAATACCCTTAGGAACCTATAAAATTAAGTAAAATTAGTATAACTAGGCACCGAAATAGGGTAGGAATAAAATAGGTTACTTACTAACTTATAAGGCTTATATAGCTGATTATAATACTAGTAATTCTTACTATTATAGGTCTTAGTAAAGTAATAGACTAAAAAAACCTAGAGAGACTGTAAATTAGTATTAGTCTACTCCGAAAGAGATACCTACAAGGGATCTTGGTGGCCTTCGGCCACCAGATAGTCCTTGTGGAGCGAAGTGACAAGGCTTTTACCTACTTAGGTACTGGTTTTTTTTTATATAATCACTATCGTATTTAGATTCAGACAGTTTATATCATGTGATAAATAATTTCAGTGCCGGGCTTGGTGTATATCTACTGCCGGCAGAATTATTCTGCCATTTCTCAGCGATGACATTTTCGCCGCATTAGAACTCTATGGATTTGGACCTCATATATGAGCAAGGTCACGTGACACACACCCGAGCCCTTATGATATGGGTTGCTTCGCTTCGCTCCGCAATAAGTATATTATATACTATACAAGGGATCTTGGTGGCCTTCGGCCACCAGATAGACCTTGTGAAGCGAAGTGACTTATTAGTAGTTAGTGACTGGGTATTGATTACGTAATCACCACTGGATTTAGATTCGCTAGTGTATATCACGTGATAAGAACTTTCAGTACTAAGGCCTCTAGTACAGAGGCCCAGCAGAATTATTCTGCCATTTCTCAGCGATCATTTTTCACCGCATTAGAATCCTATGGATTTGGACCTCATATAGGAGCAAGGTCACGTGACATACACCCGAGCCCTTATGATATGGGTTGCTTCGCTTCGCTCCGCAATTAACTACAAGGGATCTTGGTGGCCTTCGGCCACTAGATAGACCTTGTGAAGCGAAGTGACTTATTAGTAGTTAGTTAGTGAGTGACTATGTGTTGATTACGTAACCACAGCTGGATCTAGATTCACTATTTTATATCACGTGATAAGAATTTCCAGTACTAAGGCCTCTAGTACAGAGGCCCGGCAGAATTATTCTGCCATTTCTCAGCGATCATTTTTCACCGCATTAGAATCCTATAGATTTGGACCTCATATAGGAGCAAGGTCACGTGACATACACCTGAGCCCTTATGATATGGGTTGCTTCGCTTCGCTACGCAATAATAAACTTTATAGGGAAGAGGAATATAGAAAATCAAAACTATTATTATTAGATAAATTCTTTTAATTTTAGGCTTAAATAAAAGCTAAAAGTCCCATCTATCTACTGATTATTTTTTTAATTCGTTCCGACTACTAGAACCTAAGAAATCTGAGATAGAAGTTCTCGAAATATAGACTTAACGAGTTTCGAGGTCTTTTAGATAATGATAATAATGATGATAATGATGATAATAATGAATCTATTAACCTGATATAGCTCACTAATTATATATATACTACTATATAGGGATAGTGTCCTAGAGCCTACTCCTAACGATAAATAGTGGTGTATCCCTAATATATAAATCTACCTAGTATACTAGACTTAATTCCTTAAGGTCCTATAACCTAAATTATAAGGCTATAAACTAGCTAGTAAAAATATAAAATAATATAAGAAATATAATATAAAGAAAGTAATCTATCCTATATAGATAGTTTCTATGGATATCTTATAGATATCCACTAAATATCTATAAAATATCTATAAAATATCTATAAGATATCCTTAAGATCTATAGGATATCCTCTAATTATCTATATTAATATATAATATAGCTAATTATCTAGGTAAACCATATTAAAAGTAAGTCTAAGTTAGAATATCCTAGTATATTTACTTTACCCCTAAAAACCTCTACTAGTTTAGATATAAGCCTCTCTATTCTTTTAAGTACCCTACTATATTATATATTATAATTGTTAACTTCTTAATATCTTAATTATAGTTCTTATTCACTAATTTAGATATAGATTTAGCTTCTAATTAGATATATCCTAATAACTTCTCTGATTTTTTAGGTATCTAAATACTAGTCCTATCGATATCGCTAACTTATTTAACTTATTTAACCTTTATACCATTATCCCTTACTTATATTGGACCTCCCCTTTAAAAGCACTAGGTTTTATATCTATCTAATTCTATATATAATAATATAGAGGACTTATAGAATAAATTCGTTAGTTAGTAGCTTATAACTAAGTATAGATCTTAGTCTAATATAAAGAATATAATTCGATAGGAATTAAAAAGTAAATTAGATATCTAGGATAGCTTCTACTAGGTTACGAATAATAAAAATAGAAAGCTAAAGGTTATATATAAGGTATATCTCTATATAATTAGCTATCTAAGATTCTAGTGTACTTGTTCTCCGCCTATAATAGTGTACCTTAAAACTAGAGTATATTTAAAGAAAAGTGGCCTAAGAATCGACTAGCTTATTAAAAGAATAGTATATAAACTAGCTTACTTAACTAGTGTTACTATAGTAGGTAAGTTCCTTATAATTTAGTAGCTAATATTAAGTACTATAATCTAGCTAGGTACTACTAGTATATTATTTACCTAAGACTATCTCTCCGATACTATTCTAAGATTTATTTTAACTATATATCTACCCTTTTAAGTGATTAAATACCCCTAGTTCTAGTATATATTAGAGGTTACTTAGTAATCATCCACTAAACTTATAATTCTATTAGTATAAACTATTTAATATTATCTCGATATTATAGTCTAGAATAACTAGAAGGGGATTCTATATAGACTTCTAGAGGGGTACTAGCTACCGATAGCCTTAGATTACTAGACTTCTCCTTTCTAGTAGGCCTTTATAGCTATTACTAGTCACTTTATCGATTATAACTAGGATTACTATAAGGTTCTTCTAGGCTTTAAGTCTCTCTATAGCTCCTACACTAGTGAAAATCTTAGTAAAACTATAACCTAGATCCTAATAGAATATAGTATCTTAGATTATATCCTATTAGTGACTATAGATAACGTAACTAATAATAATACTTTAATATAGAGTATCTAGGAGAACCTTTGTCTTAGTATTTATTAGATATCTCGATCTTCTATATCCTATATATTATATATATAATCTAGCTAAGTCTTAATAAGCTTCTTAGGAAGCTTAAGGTAGTGCTAAGTAATAAGGAGATTAAGTTAGAGTAGTCTAACGAAAAAACCTACTCCTTCTAGAATAAGTGTAATATCTTTAGCGGTATCTAGATTATAGATATATTAAAAAAGGTATATCTTCTACCCCTAGATCCTTATAATAGCTAGACTAATAAAAGTATAGAAGATCTAAGGACTAGTAGTCTTTATTAATATAAGCCCACAATATTAGGAGGTATTTATAGCCCTTTAGCTAGAGCCTATATTAATTCTAATCTAAGATATTTAGATATAATAGAACTTAATATTTCTAATACTTAACTAGGCTAAGAAGCTCTAGCTATTCTATGATTAGTATTATACTAATTATTAATATCTTTATTTTAAGCTTGATTAAGAAGAGTGGTATTAAGTCGAATATCTTCTTCTTCTAATAAAGCCCTTCTTTGATTTTATAATAATACTATTAAAGACTAAGGATATTACTATATATAATATCTATAGTATTTATAATAAACTTTTCTCCTATCTTAATATAGCTAAGGCGAAGCTTAAGAATAAAGGTATAACCTAGAAGAAATAGATATTATAGGCACTCTAAATAGTAAAGAAAAAGCTCTCTAAGTACTATACTACCACTAAATATAAGCCTTATAGTAATATCTACGCTCTAGTAATAATCTTCTCTCTATCAAAGAAGGTCTAGTACTTTTCCTTAACTAATTAGTAGGGCGATATTAATTATATAAATTATTATTAAGAGGTCCTAAACTAAGAGTTTAATTAATATAGGAAGATACTTACCTATAATACTAATAACCTAGTGGTACTAGAGACTTCTAGAGTAGCTATTAATAAGAATGATAACTATAATCTTAATATTACTTATATATTATAAAATTAGCTATTAGAAGAGCTTATAAAACTAGATAATAATAAGATTATATAATATCTTACTTATAGAACTAAGTAATAGAAACCTTAAATTTTCTAGAAGGAATATAAGTAGAGCTTCCTAACCCTAGTAAGGATAGTAAGGGATATTCTATCTATCCCTACTAGTGGTACTAGTGTTAAATAACTATTTAATTATACTTATAATATCTATTATTACTATTATAGTTAATTAAAGCTGAGTATAATCTATAGCCTAATACTATATTAGTTTACTACTAACTTTAATCTTCGATATAAGGAGCTAGGGATTATTAAAGAGTATCTATCCTAAGGTAAAGCTACTTTACTAGGTTAAACCTAGAGATTATTACTATAGCTTAAGGTATTAGAGCCTATTAGTGATAATAAGGAGGAGGATTAAGAGACTAGACTTAAGGCTACCTAGCACACTAAGAGCGGTAATAATAACTCGGATAATAATAGTGCTAAGCGATATAGATAGGTAAAAGGAAAATAACCTTAAAAACGACTATATAACGCTATTAAAGAGGATGATAAGCTTCTAGAGATACTAGTGGATAGGAGTATACCAGGCCGTTTAGGGCGGATTCGAAAATAGCTAAGGTTACTAGATGGCTTCTAGTTAGATCTATAAATAGTAAATAGGGCCTAGAAGATTTAAATTCATAAAACCCCCTAAAAAAGTATAGACTAAATCTCTAACTATAGTTAAAAGACTAGATTTACGACTATAATTAGAGATTCTAATTGTATACTACTATAAGTAGAGTAGTGCTCAACCTTCTACCTATAATTTCTAACTGAGGTCAGAAATTATACTTACCTAGTGATATTCAACAACCTTAAGTACCAAGTGTTATACAAAAAATATATAGGAATATATAATAATAATATATACCCCTTAAGGTCATAAGTCTAGGTATATTTATATTATTTAATTTAATATCCATTAGATATCCGTAGATATCTAATAGATATAAGGTCTATATCTAAATCCTTAAGGCTACGGATATTAGATATCAAAAGTTTCTAAATCCGCACTTTATAGATATAGATTACGGATATCTGTGGATATTGCGGATTGTGCTATAGTCTAATATAGACTATTGATATAATTAGTCTTAGTCCTACTTTACCCCTACTTTTGTTCCTTAGTATTATATAGCTAAGACCTAACCTAAACCTAAACCTAATATCCGACTAATTAGAATAGCTAGATTAAAGCGAAACCTACCTATTAGCTATAGTAAGTAGCCTATCGCTATACCTAATAAAGAAGATAGTAATAAGTAAGAGAGAGTTACTTATAACCTAAATACCCTAATCCCTAAACTATAGAGACTAGTTAGTACTAGTGAATATAAAGAAGATAATAATAATAGAGAAGGTTCCTCTATTTATAAATAACTATAGAAGACCCTAAATTATAAATAATTTTATAAACTTAGCTATAAATACTAGAACTTAAGAAAGAGAGTCTAGGAATTAGAGGATAAAGTAGCTATCCTATATTTAGATAAGATTAAGACTAAGATAATTATCGAGACACTTACTTAGGAGTGAGATAAGGTGATTACCCACTAAGATATCGCTATCTATAAACGTAGCGATCTTACTTTCTACCTTATAAATCTCTAGAACTAGACTAGTGCTAGTATACTAATTATAGAGGGTACTACTACCTAAAAGTCTATAAAGATACCTAATACTCCGATACTTAGCGATAGTAAAGAAGTTCGATTTAAAGTATAGGAGACTATTATCTAATAGAAACTTAAAGCGAATAATATATTTTATAAGCGAGCTACGTATATAAGCGAGCTATATACCCTACCTAAAATATATCTATAAATTAGTAATTAATTAATTTAACTACCCACTATACCACTAATTCACTCTTAAAGCTCTAGAAATTTAATAGAGTAAGAGGGTAGGATCTTATTAGCTATCTAGGCTTTTAAGAATTAAGAAATCTTATTAATTTATAGTATAGCGCGCTACTATAAAGTCCCTAAATCTACACTTTAGATATATCTATATAGGGTCTAACAATATATAACTACTTACGTAAACTCCTATAAATTAACAAAAATCGAAGAAGAATCTTAAGAAATAGATTCTCTCTATAGATTCTTATAGATTAACTATATATTAAATAGAACTAGAATAACTAGTTAGAGATCTTACTAATAATTAATTTTATAGTCTTAATTCTCCCCTAGGATATAATAAAGAAGTTACCTTTCTTTATAGAAAGAGGATATAAACCTTTAATAATATTTAACTAGAAAGACTAAGAGATAGTAATACTAAATAAGTAAGATATAGTATAAATACTCTCTAAGTTATAGGATATCTAAACTTAGACTAAGGAGTAAGTTATAAAGTTATAGTAGTTATAGATTTATTAAGTAAATAAGTACTACTAAGAAGAGGATTTTAGAGTTAGTAACTTAGTATTTATTATAATAAAGGACTAGCTCTAGGATTAGCTAAATAGAAAGCTCTTATACCTAACTAGTAGACTATATAAGATTATAGATTATTAAGAAAGTAGGTAACTCCTATAAGATAGATCTACTAGAGATAATCTAAGTATACCCTATCTTTTACCTAAGTAAGCTATAAAAGATAGCTATAATAGAACCCTTAGAAGGATAATATATAGACCTACCTCCACTAATATAGATTAGGGAGATAGATAAATAGGAAGTTAAGAAGGTTCTAGATACTAGGATATATTATTAGAAGCTATAATATAGAGTATAATAGGTAGGATATAACCTCGATTCATAATAGTATCCTACTAGTGATATAAAGTATATACTAAGGAAAGTATAGGAATTCTATATATAGTACCCTTTAAAACCTAGTCCTCCTATATATCTATAGGAATAGTTTAATACTAATAAAGAAGATTAAGTCCTTAAAGACTATAGTAATAATAATAAGCTAGTATTTAGGGACTAAATATATTCTTAGTTAGGGGTTATATAATAATCTAGAAGGTAGATCTTTTCTACTAAAAGGATTCTACTAGATATTTCTATCTTAATAGAGTTTATATTATTTATATATGTGAGCACTTTAGCAGAAATAATATTATAGCCTAATAGTAGGTTATAATATTTTGTAGGGGAAGGTGTATTAGGTAAGCTTTATCCTATATAATATTGTATTATATAAGATACAGAAAGGTTTATACTTAGCTTAAGTAGATGATAATAGGTGAGAGGTAAGAAAAGTTGTATTCCATTAATTATTTTCTAGCTATGAATCCTTCATTCCTTATATAGGCAAGCTCTAGCAGTATAGAATATCATAGAAAGTCATTAATAATATAATGACTTCGTTATGATGTCCTAGATTTATGGCGATATATTGTGAGTCATAATATAGTTTACCGTAAATAATATATCTAAGGTTCTCTTAGATACTACCGGTAAAATATATATCTTATCCTCACACACCATAGTATATCAATATATCTTACAATTACTATTATGCTTACAATATACTTAGTGGTAATAGGACCCTATAAAGGATCCTATCCTAGAGTTTTCTTTCCTCCTTTTCCTTCTCTATATACTTAGTATTCTTATTAAAATATACTCTTTTATTTAAAGAACTAGCTAGTAATACTATAAGAGTATACAATTATTAGGAGTAAGGCCTATTAACTAGGTAAGATATAAGGCTTAATAATTAGGAGGGAGGATTAAATATATTTTCGTAAGTTATAAGACTAACTCTTATAGGAGGGAATAGGATCCTAAGGATCTTAGGGTTCTTATACTTAGATATAGGACCCTATATTTACTCAAACCGAGTACCGAGCCGATTACGAATTAACCCCGCTTTAACCCCGGAACGTGAATAACGTACTTAGGTAGATAACTGAGTATCAGAATTTAAAGGACCTTTATCCTTTACAATTATCCTCCCTCTCCTATATAGATATCCCTATCTACGCCTAAAATAGACTATTAAAGTAGGATACTTTCTTTATCTAGTGGACCCCGATTCTAATAGGATTTTCGAGGCCTAGCCCTCTTATAAATAAAGGCTCTCTGTTTATCTTTATTAAGAATTTATACTTAAGGGGGTTTATAATTATTGCGGAGCGAAGCGAAGCAACCCATATCATAAGGGCTCGGGTGTATGTCACGTGACCTTGCTCATATATGAGGTCCAAATCCATAGAGTTCTAATGCGGCGAAAATGTCATCGCTGAGAAATGGCAGAATAATTCTGCCGGCAGTAGATATACACCAAGCCCAGCAATTGAAATTATTTATCATATAATATAAACCGTCTGAATCTAAATACGATAGTGATTATATAAGAAAAAACCAGTAACTAAGTAGGTAAAAACCTTGTCACTTCGCTCCACAAGGACTATCTGGTGGCCGAAGGCCACCAAGATCCCTTGTAGTTCTATACTATAACTATCTTCTTATTATACCTCTAATCTCTTATTCTAATCTAATTTAGTTAAAAGATATATAGTGTATAAAGTGCTTACACACTAGTGTTAATAGTTAGGATATAGTAGACACTAGTGAACTAATATCGATCTAGTATTTCCTTAGGACTACTAATTCGAAGAAATACTACTAATATATCGAAGGACACAATATATATAAGCGTCCTACTAAGGGAATATAGGGAGACACTCATAATCTAACCGGCCCTTACATTTTTTTACAAAATTACAGACCCTCCTTACGGAGGGTCCGCCACCCAAACGTAAGGGATCACCCAAACGTTAGATTTTTTAACACTTTT